GGGGGGGGGGGGGGGGGGTCCAGCCCTCCCAGCATCTCCGTGGCCTCCTCTGGCCCTGCTGGAGCAGGTCCGTGTCCTTCTGCTGTTGGTGCCCCAGAGCCGGACCCAGCCCTGCAGGGGGGTCTCTCAGAGCGGAGCAGAGGGGGAGAATCCCCCCCTCGGCTCCTGCCCACACTGCTCTGGGTGCAGCCCAGGACACACTTGGCTTTCTGTGATGGGGGTTGATCTTCTACTGGACAGATGAAGCAAAACCACCACCACCACCTCTCAATATTCTGCCATAAGTGGTTAGTAACCATCTTGTTTCCAAGACAGGTTCAAGTTTCAGTGACAAGTTGCTGGCTGAAGGTGTTTATGAGTTCGGTTCTACCTGCCCTCTTTCTCAGCAGGGAATAGCTGAGGTCAGGGCATATACAGCTGAATTACAAAGGTATCTTTATTATAAAAGCAGAAAGCTAGAAAACAAAATAATGCTGAAAGTTGAGTTGAAGCTGACATACAATGTCTTTTAAGTCATTAACATCCTAAGAATATTTCACAGAAATGAGCACAGTAGTGAAAACCTAATATAGTTCAGACTTTTGAGAGAAAATTTTCAACAAAAGCACTAAACAGGAGGGAGTTTACTATAAAAGTGCAGACACAATATACAGAACAAAGTATATTTGACAGCATGCAGAATTAAATTAAGGAAAACTAAAATCAAATCTGCTCCAACCATATGGACTAAGGCAGCAGAACATAGCTCAGCACCAAACACATCAGAAAGCATTATGTGAAGTGAGCAGCAATTCCATAAATCCAACAGTCTCATTTTTCCACCAGGCTATAGCAGGATATTTGTCCCTGCATCCTCAAGGAAGTAACAGCTGATGCCCAGAATAAAAAGCACAATATTAAAACGCATGGTTGTCTCACCCAGGGGCTGCCACCCACACTTGCAAGAAAATTTCTAGGAAAAGCTACTAGCACTATCAAGACCTTGGTGACCTTGGGAAAGTCACTTTATCTCTGCATCATGTGGCCCTAAAGTGTAGAACAAGAGTAAATACTCGCTGCCTTCAACCCAGGTCACAGAGGAGGTGAGTAGAGTCTGCAGTGTGGTTTAAATTCTCCGGGGATTTGACACATTAGAAATGTTATTAAAACACCATGACAGTCTAACAGTGTTTCCATTAAACATCCCATCCTTCACAGAGCAAGTTTATGCTTTGGCACAAGACAAACAACAAAAAGAATTTCAGATGAGGCCTTTGTAGTGGGATATATTCCTGCATCTGGCAGCTGCGCTCCCAAGAGACAGACATTTAAACAGCCAGAAGTAATGAGTATGCTGAGCTACCTTTGAGTGCTCGTGAACAGAAAAGTGAAAAAGCACGAGGAGCAGGTACTTGCACTCCACGGGGACTGAAATGTAACATCAGAATCAGGGAGCTGTAAGCTTCTGGAGAGGAGACATGATCGACGTTTGGCATCCTGACATCCCTGGCAGCACAGAGCGGCACCTTGCACATGCGTGTGACTGGTGCAACAGCCAAGATGAAACCAGGGTCAGTGACCCCGCTCCTCCAAACCCTCTTCAGTCAACTGCTGGGGAGGCACCTGGCCAGGCCAAGTACAGTATCATGAAAATTGGCTTTTAAAGCTACATCAAGAAGGCACATAACCAACAATATTCAGCTGAAGCATTAAAAACACCCTCCACCCTCCTAATCTACCCTTATACCAGTATCAGCCCATGAGAATACAGTTTATAGTGTACACCACCCTAAGATCACTCAAAGTTTATGTTAAGAGAGGAGCAAGGACAACTAAGGTTGCTAATAACAAACCAGTGAGTATCTAACACAGCCTGAGGTGTATCAGACAGAGTAATAGAAGAGAACTGGAATTTATATCCTTTTTTTGTTACTTTTAGAAGTCAGAACAGAGGCTTGCAACTTTAAATTTAAGGTCATTTTAACCTCCGCTTTGCATTCAGGAGACAGGTAATTTTTCGTCACACCATACAAAGTGCTGCTGAAAATATGTTGTGTTTTTCTGCAGTATAATTTTATTGCTGGCCTTCTGCCAACAGCCTTTCTGGCAGCATCTCCCACAGTTGGAAACTGTGTATCTGGGTCAGAAAAGACAAGCCGCTTTTCAGAACAGCTCAATACATTTGGCAGAGATGCTGATATTGTAATTGAACTCTTTCAGCAACTCTTTTTATGATGTACCCAGACACCAAACAAAACAAGATCTGCAATGTTGATTAATGTCAAAATAACTGACAGAGAAATATCAAAATAGTTTTCCCTCATGTTA